GTTCCTTGGCTTAGTTTAGCTGCTTTTATTTGTTATAAAGAAAGGCTCCCAGCATGGCAGAATAGGGTATAGATCTGGGAAAGGCTGATGCCAATATAAAAGACATTAAAATGTAAATCAGTAGAAAAGACATATAACAGCTGATCATTGTAAAAGCCATTAGAGGTTTTTTTTTTTTTTTTTTTTTAAGAGTGAAGCTAGAATGAGATCATTTTATTGGCTGCATAGCTTTGTACCAGATGGTGATTCCTTTTCCTGGTAAGACTTATTGAATGGCAATGCTATATTGAGCATTTAACATAAATTAGCTACATTCCATTTTTGGAAATTCATTGTGAAAATAACTTCCATTTTAGATGGAAAAAATTACCGTGAATGCCTTGACCTGGAAATGTTTAAAGTCCACATATCAAATCAAGTAAGCAAGCATTCATTAAGAACTTATTATGAGGTATACAAGCAGTTAGGTGGCAAAGTAGATAGAGAGCCAGGAAGACTCATCTTCCTGTGTTCAAATCCAGCCCTAGACTCGTACTAGCAGTGTGGCCCCTGGCAAGTCACTTAACTCTGTTTGCCTCAGTTTCCTCATCTGTAAAATGAGTTGGAGAATGAAATGGCAGATCACTCTAGTATCTTTGCCAGGAAAACCCCATATGCGGTCACAGAGTCAGACGTGACCAAAAAAATGACCAAACAACATATGGTAGATATTGCCCTAAGTGCTAGGGATTCAGAGAAGGTGAGAACAGTTCCTTCCTTCAAGGAACTCTTTAATGAAGAAAACAGCATTCAAACAACTATATATGTACAAAATAAATAGAAGGTAAATTGGAGGAAATCTCAAACAGAAGACACTGCTTGATGGGGACTGGGAAAGGCCCCTAGCAGCTGGGGGAGTGGAGTGAAGGGGTGGGGACAAAAAGGTAAAGCATTTCAGACAAGGAGGTAGCTAGTGGATGAGTGTAGAGTGGAAGGAATGGAGTGTTGGGTGTGACAAGCACCAGTGAGATGGCTACTGTCACTGTATCTGAGAGTACAAATTGATAAGTGAAGAGGAAGAAAGCAGGATGATCTGAAAGCCAAAATAGATTTTATATTTGATCTGGGAGGTAATGGGGAGTCACTGGATTTTGTTGATGTTTGTCCTTCATTTTAAGTGAACCAATGACACCAAGGGATGGTTGTATCTTGACTTGTGCATGAATTGAATTTAAGTGAGGCAGAGCTGTGTAAAGTCATCAGCCTCGCTCTCTCTTCCTGAATCATTGAAAGTCCAGTGGCAAGGCCAGGACTGAGAAAGTGAAGTGAGCTGATCAGACCTGCCCTGTAGGATGATCCCTTTGGAAGCCTTTGGGTGAGGGACCAGAGTGAGGAGAGCCTTGGGACAGACAGACCAACAAGCAGAGTATCGTAGCAGTTAAGCATGAAGTGATGAGTGTCTGCACCAGGGTTGTGACTGGGTTAGAAGAGAGAAGGGGCTTATGGAAGAGTTAGCATTTTACAGAGTTTCTATTTACTTAGAAAATAATAATCAGATTCACTTCAATTCAACAAGCATTTATTAAGTGTTTATTATGTGCTAGGAACTCAAAATACAAAGAAAAAATAAGCAAAAAACTCTTTACAGAGCTTATATTCTATTAAATCTATTTTTGATACAGTGTGTTCTGCTACCAGGTTAATCATAAAGGGACTTAATTTTCAGCTTTCCTACATAAGGTCTATAGAAGGAAAACATTTACAATATCCAGTGTACTGTTGAGGTGAAGTGAAAAAAAAAATGTTTTTGTTGATTGGCTGCTTAAGTTTTAGAAGGTCTTATTGATAAGGTTTTATGGAAATTAAACCTGTTAGTAAATGCACAACTTCATATGGTGGAAACAGAGGTCTAAAACCTGGCTTCTTAACCTTTTCCTCTCATGGCCCTCTTTGGCAGCCTACTGAAGCCTATAGGGTCCTTCTCAGAATCATGTTTTTAAATGCATGAAATAAAATATGTAGCATTATAAACGGAAACAATTATATTGAAATAGAATTATGAAAAAATAATTTTTAAAAATGTTCATGGACCCTAGGTTAAAGACTTCCGGATTTAAAAAAATGGGCATTCACAAAGTAAATTTTCCTAAAATTGATATATCACTTGTTGCTGTTTGGTGGTTTCCATCATGTCCAACTCTTTGTGATAATTTTTGGGGCAAAGATGCTTGAGCAGTTTTGCCATTTCCTTCTCCAGCTCGTTTGACAGATGAGGAAACTGAGGCAAACAGGGTTAAGTGGCTTGCCCAGGGATCCACAGCTACTGAGTGTCTGAGGCCTGGTTTGAACTCATGAAGATGAGTTTTCCTGATTCCAGGCCTGGCGCTCTGCTGTGTCGCCTAACTATATCACTACTTCTGAACTATCCATTCATCAAACATTCAATGATACTGTGTTAGGCACTAAAAAAAAAAAATGATGATAGATAACAGGCTAAGATTAGGGAGCTGAAAGTCCCATTGGACTCTGCCTTAGTCTGACCCCTTTTCAAATGACAGTTGTCATTCTTTCATTTATTCATTCAGTAACATTTATTATGCTCCTATTATGGGCAAGCCCTTGTACTAAGCTCTGGGCATACAGAAAGAGGCAACATACAGTCCCTGCCCTCAAGGATTTTAGTCTAATGGGCGAGACAACGTGCAAACAAATATATACAAAGCAGGCTTTATACAGGACACATAGGAAGTAATTAAGAGAGGGAAAGCACTGGAATTAAGAGGGGTTAGGGAAGGCTTCCTGTGAGATTGTGAAAGTTAATTAAAGCAAATGAGAATAGTGGTCCCTTGACGGGTAGTTCTATGCTGTTCTGAGTATACTGTAGTAGACTAGTATAACCTGTAATAAAACAGTTCCTTTTCAAATGTTCAGCAATATCAAATTTATTTTATAGCATTTATTTTTCTTGTGTATTTTCTTACCTGTGACCTTTCGGTAATTAAGTTGTTTTTCACCCAGTTTAAGAGTAATTTAATATTTTTAGGACCTTTTTAATCATCACAAATCTGTTAACTATTTAATTGCATCTAAGCGACCCTGTTATTGTTGTTATTCAGTTGTGTCTGACTCTTTGTGACCCCATTTGGGGTTTTCTTGGCAGAGATACTAGAGTGGTTTGCCATTTCCTGCTCCAGCTCATTTTACAGATGAGGAAACTGAGGCAAACAAGGTTAAGTGACTTGCCCAGGGTCACCCAACTAGTAAGTGTCTGAGGACAGATTTCAATTCAGGTCTTCCTGACTCCAGGCCCTGTATTCTATCCACTGTGCCGAGTGTCTTCTGGTGTGTCCCTACCCAGCTGTTATATAACAGAATTTTTTAAAAAATAAATTCATTTGTAGCAGCTATTTTTTTTTCCATCCCCTACCTTCCATCCATATACAAAGACACAAAGCATTTAAGGCATTTTCATATCTACAGGTCTGTCTTGACTTTTAAGTGTGGCAGGCTTTCCACTCAGCTGTCCTTATACTATTATTTATACAGATGACAAAGGAGTTTTTCTTTTTCTTTTTTTTTTTGGTGGAGGGGCAGAGGGCAATCAAGGTTAAGTGACTTTCCCAGGGTCACACAGCTGGGAGGTATCTGAGGCTAGATTTGAACTCAGGTCTTCCCGATCCCAGAGCACGTGTTCTATCCACTGTACCACCTAGCTGCCCCCAAAGGAACTTTTCCAAAGCCCAGATCTAACTATGTTTTTCTATCACTCAGTGAATTCCACTGGCTTCCAGTTATCACCAGAGCAGAGATTCTTAAGTGTGGACCCCTCACCCAACCCCCGGTAGTCAGGTGAAACCTATAGACCCCTTCTCAGAATCATGTTTCTAAATAATTGGAGGAAATTCTAAGTTTCAGTTAAAGTTTATTGAAAATAAATAAATGCATTTTTTTCCTATCCAAGTTCACGGACTCCCTAATATCCATCCATAGTTTTAGGCCCCCTCAGCTCTAGAGGCAAATATAACCCTTTGATTTGGCTCTTAAAGGTCTTCAGAACCTGGCACCCAAATATAGCATTCTAGCCTTATTACCTTTCTCCCCTTCATGCGCTCTATGGCCTAGTCAAACTGGTCTTCATACTGTTCTTCACATGGGACACTCTAAGTCCCACTTAGGTGAGTTAATGTTAGCTATTCGTCATGATTGTGATGCCTGCCCTCTTCACGTTTGCCCCTCAGCCTCTAATTTCCTTTCAATTCAAATAGTATCTTCTAAATGAAGCCTTTCCTGACTTCTGTCCACACCTATGAGCTGCTGGTACCCTCCCCCTTAATTAACTCATATGTGCTTTGTTTATACTTATATATGGACTGTCTTCCCCAGTTGAATCTAAGCTCCTTCAGATGAGAGATTTTTTTTACTCTTGTTTTTCTATCCTCAGCACCCTGCACAGTGCATGGTACACATAGTACGTGCCTAATAAATGGTTGTTGACTAATTACTGAATTATAGACAGTTCAAGCTAGAAGATCATTTGCTATAACATTCGTTATTTTTTACCATCTTAAATTCCTCATATTATCAGGTTCTTTTAATGTTTTTACCTATTATCCTATACAAAGCTGTGTCTTATTTCCACAGTGACCATGCTTTCTGAACCAGAAATAAAGACTGATAAATGATAATCTTTTACAAAGGATATTTTACTTTTTAAAAACAGAGTGTGCTAAATAAATCCAGGAGAATTTGGACAATATTTTTTTTATCCATAACCAGTTATGCCTCACTTATTAACTTCTCTGATTCTTTTTTTTGGGGGGGGGGTAATATAATTTTCCCTGGTTCTTTTCATATTCTTGCTCTGATTAAACATATACCTTTTATATGCTTGCTTTTCTGAATCATCTTTTACATGAACTTCTTTGTCATACATCAGGACACATTGTTATAAGGAAGTTCTATTATTTTTTAAAATGTATTTGCAAGGAATAATTTAAAATATGCCTCCCTCTTCCATTCAGGTTCAAAACTTTATTTGTGGCTGGTGAACACTGTGATGTGGAGACGCTGGAGTGGTCTAAAAATGTTTTCAGAGTACCTGTCTTGGACCATTGGTGGCAAACAGGTAAGCAATTTTCAAATGCAAACTGAATTTTTAATGAAAAAAAAATGAGAGGCAATAAATTAATGTCACCTAAGGCCCCAGACATAATCGATGTATAGTATGAAAATTGTCAATACCAAGGTTCACAGGGCTCTGATTGCAAAGACTGGGAACCATTTATGCATATTGTTAATCAACTTCCCTGCTTCTGCCCATTTTATTTCTAGGCTCCTGATTCCCTAGACCTGAAAATTTAAGATCATCTTCTATTCCTTTTTAGATTCTTTTTTCAAACAATTATTTAATAGTATTTTTTTCTAATTACATATAAAGACAATTTTTAACATTCATTTAAATTTTTTTTTTGAATTCCAAGTTTTCTTCCTTCCTCTCTCCCCTACCCCTTCCTATGAGATTAAGCAATTTGATGTAGGTAATATACATTCAATCACATAAAATGTATTTCTGTAACAGTTATGTTGCGAAAGAAGAAACAGATCACATGAAAAAAAAACACAAAAACATTAAAGAAAGTGAAAATAGTGTGCGTTGATCTACATTCAGACTCCATTAATTCTTTCTCTGGATGTGGATAGCATCTTCTGCCACGAGTCCTTTGGAATTATCTTGGATCTTTATATTGCTGAGAAGAGCTAAGTCATTCATAGTTGAACCCAACTGCACAATGTTGCTGTTACTGTGTTACAATGTTTTCCTGGTTCTGCTCATTTCACTTTGTATCAGTTCGTGTAAATAATCGTTCATTTTTATGCCTTGCTATGACTGAAATAATGTGGCCACCATTTTGGTGGTGAGCCATTCTGACTTGGCTTATTCAAGGACTGGTTCAGCTAACAGTTCTGTCTCAGAGCCCGTATGTGAGGCCTATCCTATTTGGTAGGATCAGGGAGAACTGGTGTTCATTCTCCTAGCTTGACCTTGAGAACCCAGAGCCGTACTTCTGAACCATAGCTATTAATCAAGAGGCAGCTGGGGTAGAGCTCTAGCACTGATTTCTAGTCAAAGGACTTTCTTTGTGACCTCAAATAAGTTACATCAAGTTTTCTGAACCTCAGTATCCTGTGAAAAGAAGGGGTGAGATAGATAATCTGTGAGGGTTCTTTCCTTCTCTAAATTTGTGTAACCTAGTGTTTCTAAGTAGGACTTTATTAGGGGATGCAGATCCACTGTTCCTAAATATATCATAAGCTAGGGTCATAGAATCATCAATTTTGAGCTGGAAGGAAACTCAGAGACCATTTAGTCCAGCTTCCTCATTTTACAGAAAAGAAGACTGCGGCCCATAGATGTTCAATGACTTGCCCAAAGTCACAGTCAGGATTTGGACCCAGGACCTCTCACTCCAGAGTTATCGCTCTTTTCACAGTACTGGCCCCTTTGGCAGTTTGGCTTGTTTCTGGTATATGATTAAGTACTTCTTATTTGACTATTGGCTTGCTCTCTCTGGGCTTCTCACTCATTTAATAATTCGTACTTTGGTTTGAGAGTCAGTATGGTTTAGTGAAAGAATGCTGGATTTGGAGTCTGGAAATTTGTACATAGCCAGTACTCACCAATTCTGTGATGATGGATGGATCACTTAGTTTGTTGGAGTTTTAATTTCCTTTTCTGCAAAATGGGAATAGTAATGCTTGTATTACCTGCCTGATACGGTGGTTGTGTAAAAACTGTTTTACAACAGACCTTAACATGTTATATCAGGGTGTTTGTTGTGTACAGCTATTCAAGACCCCATTTGGGGTTTTCTTGGTGAAGATACTGGAACAGTTTGCCATTTTCTTCTCTAGCTCATTTTACAGATGAGGAAAGTGAGGCAGACAGGATTAAGTGACTTGCCCAAGATCACACAGCTAGTCTAAGGCCAGATTAGAACTCTGAAAGATGAGTCTTCCTGATGCCAGGCCTGGCACTCTATCTACCACCTAGCTGTCCTATATCAAGGTGAATTATTATCATTAACCTGATGATCTAAATAGTTACATCAATCAGTTCCTAATTACTTTGGAGGTTGTCTCATTACCCAAAATTTTCAGAAATATTTACCTTCTTCAGGAGCAGTGGCCTAGTTTCCTAGTAAGATAGCCTTAAAAAACACTTTTTTTCCCCAGAGAAACTTGACAGATTGTAAATAGCATTCATAGTTTTTCTATCCTTATTTTAAGAACTCATTAATGGTATATGAATGTATTCATAGGCACATGCCCTGATCCACTTAGGTTTATTATGAAAAAGTTATTTTTCTTGTCTTGGTATCCAGGAATATCTTTGTGTGAAGGCTTTTGTTACATTAGAAGGAACTCAAGCTATAGGAACCATCTTCCCTCTTCATTGTTTCAACAATTAAAAGGAAGCTCAGACGTGGTTACTTTTATGTCACCCATTTTGCATCATAGATCCTTAGAGACTTGGGTTTTGAATACAAACTCATATTATTAACTAGCTGGTGATTTTTCCATTAGTTAGTTTCATTGTCAAAATCAAGTGTGTTTAACAAAAGTAAACCAGAAGTTAATTCCCAAAAGAAATGTTCAAAGTTTGATCTTGTCGGTTCCAAGAAGCACTTTGCTTTCCCCACGTTCTCTGGATTTAGTTCCTTAGCAGAAGGTTGTTTCTAAGTTCCTGGATGTTAATATGTTGAATGGTTGGAGGGAGAGAAAGTGTATTTTGGAGAGGATGAATTTCAGAGTCACAGAGTGGACAGGCATTTCAGAGGCCATTTAATCCACCCCATACCTGAACAGGAAACCTTTTTTTTTTAACATCTTCCAAAAATGGCCATCCAGTCATTGCTTTAAAATGTCCAATGAAGAGGCATCCACTATTTCCCCAGGGAATCCATTCCACTTTTGGGTAGCATTGATTGGTAGGAAGTTTTCCTTGCATTAATTCATAATTGCGTTTTTAAACCCATTGCTCTCAGTCTGCTTTCTGAAGTCAAATGGAACTTTTTTGTTGTTGTCATTTCCAGTTGTGTCCAACTCTTCATTACTCCAGTTAGGGTTTTCTTGGCAGTCATACTGGCATGATTTGCCATTTCCTTCTCCAGCTTATTTGACAAATGAGGAAACAGAGGCAGACAGGGTTAAGTGACTTGCCCAGAGTCACACAGCTAGTAACTGTCTGAAGCCAGATTTGAACTCAGGAAAATGAATCTTCTTAACTCCTGGCTGGATTCTCTATCCACTGTACCACCTAGCTGTCCCAAATGGAACATATCTATCCACATTTCTGCATAACAGACCATTAGCTTCTTGAAGACAGCTCTCATAGCTCACAAAAATTTTCTCTTTTTTAGGCTAAACATCCCTATTTCTTCAACTAATTTTCCCATAGCTTTAGCTTGAAGTCTTTAACCATTCTGTTTACTTTCTTTTGAACTCTGCATTCTGTCTTTTTCCCTCTTAAAACATAATACCCAAGACTCAACACCATGGTCCAGGTGCAGTCTGACTTGGGAAGAATAATGAGGGACTGTTATGTCTTGGACATCTGATTCTGAATTAGTATTTTTGGATTCTCTTTCACATGGCTGACTCATTGAACTTGAAGTGCCAGATATTTGCCTGGAAAGTTCTTCCCAGTCTTGTACGTTTGAAGTATTATTATTTTTTTATCTTAAGGTAAAGCATATTTATCATTGCATTTCATCATATTTGATTTGGCCTAATTGATTTCTGTCCAGATGTTTTAGAATTCTGTCTTTGCCATCCAGTGTGTTGGCAATCTGTCTCAGCTTTATATGAGCAGCAGATGATGCTAGCAGTAACAGCTGGAAATAGCACAAAATCAAACACAGATTCCCAGGTGTTTTACTTGAGACCCCCTTCCAATATGATATCAAACTATTAATCACAGTTCTTTGGGTTTTCTTTTTTCTTCTCTCTCTCTTCTACTTCCTCCATTTTCCTCCTTTCTTTCTCCTTCCTCTCTTCTAGATATTTTACTAACCATTGGTGTAATATCTTCTAGTTCCCCCCTCCCTCTCCCCAGGAATTGAAGTCAAATTCATTGGCCTTATAGTTTTCAGAATATAATCTCTTTCACTGAAAAAAATAAAATCATACTATTTGACCTTTATTCTCCAATTCACCTCTCCATTTCTCCAAGAGTCTCTAAGGTCATTGACAGTGGCTTCTTAATCACATCTGCTAATTCATTCAATACCCTGGGATGTAGTTTATCTAGACAGGTGATTTAAACTTATCAAAGGTAACTACTACACATTCTCTTGAGATCTTGGGTTTTAATTCCCTATTAGTGTTTTTCTTCTTTCCTGTCCTAACCAAAGATTATTCTTCTTGGCGGAGAACATAGAAACCACAATGCAATTGGGTAGCTATAAGCAGAAGCATGCTACAATGGGAAAAATACTGACTCTGGAGTTGGGGAACCTGGGTTCAAATCTCTTCTCTCACACTTAGTATGTATATGATTTAATTCAAGTCATTTAATCTGTCCAGTCCTCCATTTCCTAATCTGTACAATAGAACTGGACAAGTTGGCCTTGTGCATGGATTCCTTTCAGCTCTAGATCACATCCTGTGACCTTCTCCTTGTCATTCAGTTTTATTCTACTCACGCACAAACGATGGTCTTTTTCCTTTCCTCATTACCCTTTTATTGTCGTAAGCTTTCTATGGCCATCAGATCGAAGCCACCCTATTAGCAGTCTAGTTTTATTTGCAGATAACAAATGGAATCCTTGAGCATTTGAAATCTGCTTACTTGTAAATGCCAATGGGCAGAGTTATGTTGGACTTGGGGCAGACAGAAGTTCCAATTTTAAAATGATTTCTATGCATAACCACAGACTAAGGATTGAGACCACTGAAACAGAATGCATTTCTGAAAGTATCTCCTTTTTATACAGAGAAGTTGGATCTTCCTGGATATGAGACAAGTGAAAATTGTCTCTCTCTTACCCTTTGATGTTGTTGTTCAATCGTGTCTGACTCTTCGTGACCCCATTTGGGCTTTTCTTGGCAAAGATACTGGAGTGG